GCCCTGAACTGGCGATTTCATCTAGTTAATAATGAACTACACGTGAATTATGGAGAAAACAAAGGAATTCTGGAACGAAGATTTACGCTGAGGCAATAAGAGTGAGAAAAGCACTGGGCAGTGCAGTGAAACCCAAACCAGTCCAACAGACATGCCTGGGCCACACGGCTGTCCTCAGGAGCTGGGGGCGGTGACCACTCGGCATGGTGTCCGTTTGGCCTCCCTAGCATCTGGGACAACCCTGCTCTTAACATCTGAGCAATTTATTGCCTAATTATTTAGTGTGCCCTTTGGAAGAATCTGTCTGCAGTGCGTCCTTGGAAAGTCAGTCTCTCCACGGCCTCAACAGCAAAGTAACCTTTTATTCAAATGCTTTGTGACCATTTAGAATATTGAATTTGTATTTTAATCATCGAGTTCAAGAGGAAGATAGCCAGTGGGAAGGACTTAATTACAAACGATGTCTTTCTCATGGCAATGCTGTAATCCCAAGGGTGCTTTAGCCAAGTTCCAGGACCTCAGACAGGAAAGGTCAAATGGCTTTGCTCCCCCTTGCTACCTCAAAGCGCACGTGGCTGCACCTTCATCATGGCAGATGTTCACCAGGTATAATACTAGCCTGAGGCAAAAATTCCAGGAAACAAGAACTCACAGGGATTCTCTGGAATCCAGGGGTAATTGAGCAGCCTCTTTCTGAGTTTGCAGATGAATTTAGATAATCGCCATTTGCACATAATTGGCATTTCATTGGGAGTGCCCAAGGATTGTCATTTTCTGTATGTGAATTTATTACACATTAAAGATACAGTATATTTTAGATTAATTTTTTTAATGTTGGAAGTTTTCCTGCTTGGTTTATATTATGTACATATTCAGAGTTACATAAAGTACAACCAACTGAAGTTGTCTTTTTTGCTAGGTTAAACGGTTAATGTTCCATTTTACCTAATTCAACCTAACTACTCAAATGGCCCACAATTAACAAAAGAATGCAAAGTTACATTTCACACCATTTTGACCTATTTTTCATTCTAAAAAAGTACGTCTGTATTATGCTTACCAAGAGCTTTTCATAATATGCTGATTGCTACATGTACCAAGAGCCTTCAAAAAGTTCACAGGAAATGGAATAAAAAGGCAAGTTTGGGAGTGGGCATTTAGCCTGGCAGTTAAGGTGTTGGAGCCCCTTGGTTGGATTCCCAGCCTTGGCTCTTGACTCCAGCTTCCTGTAAACGTGGATCCTGGGAGGCAATGGTGATAGCTCCCAACTCTGGGCTCCCGCCACCCACGTCGGGGACCTGGACTGAGCCTTGGCCTCAGCCCAGCCATGTCAGGAATTTGAGAATGGGCACTCTTTCTCTGTTGCTCTGTTCCTGTCTTTCTGGCTGCCTGCTTCTCAAATAAACAATTCTTTTTTAAAAAAGAGACGTTAATTTTGCTGCAAAAATGTTTTAAATGTATGCATTGTTTTTGCAGTCATATCCACTTTCCCCAAAGTGTTTGAAGGCCTCACGAGCACGGGTATACACACATACAACCATCACGGTATACACGGGTATACACAGCCTACACCATCATGGTATACACAGGTATACATGGGTATACACAGCATACACCATCACGGTATACACAGGTATACACGGCATACACCATCACGGTATACACAGGTATACACGGGTATACACAGCATATACCATCATGGTATACACAGGTATACATGCGTATAAACACATATACCATCACGGTATACACAGGTATACATGGGTATACACAGCATACACCATCACGGTATACACAGGTATACACAGGTATACACGGCATACACCATCACGGTATACACAGGTATACATGGGTATACACAGCATATACCATCACGGTATACACGCGTATACACGGCATATACCATCATGGTATACACAGGTATACACAGCATACACCATCATGGTATACACAGGTATACACACATATACCATCACAGTATACACAGGTATACACGGGTATACACACATATACCATCATGGTATACACAGGTATACACGGGTATACACAGCATACACCATTACAGTATACACAGGTATACACACATATACCATCACGGTATACACAGGTATACACGGGTATACACAGCATATACCATCACCTCTGAATGTGTCTCTGGTTTTCAACTGACCCTGGTTTTCAACTTTGATTTTCAGGGCTCTGTGTCTCTAGTACTAGTCAACTGATTTAAGGTAGAACCCAACGTGAATTCTAAGCACATGAATTGTTTTAAAAATGCTCCTAAATTTACATTTATGAAATGCACAAAGTTTGTATACCTTAAATAAAAGGTTTCTGGGGAAAAAAAAGTTTCACTCCAGAGATAAAGTACTTATACTGAAATTCAAATCTGAAGTTTCAGTTTTCTTGAACAACAATTAAATATCTTCAATACAAATTAAAAAGAGAGAGAGAGAAAAGAAGAAGAGGAGGAAGAGGAGGGAGAAGAAGAAGAAACAATCTTTGCTTTTGTCTTGAAACTTAAAAAAGCTGGCCTGGCTGGCTTCTCCAAATGAGAAACAACAAACAACACGAAGGCAAGGAACGTGAATTACTGTTGGCATTAAGTACAGGAAACCTCGAAGTCCAGAAGTCTCTCCCAGTACAGTTTTCCTTGAAAAGTTGTTTAGGTCTTCTAATTGTTTTAGCAACGTGCACCTCTGTAAGATGTTTAGTGTCATGAAAAAGATTCGTATTTATTTTCTTCATTTCTTTAACCATATAATAATTCCCATGCCCTGCTGTGAAATTATAATGACGAATCAAAGTAATAAATGCTTTTATAAAGCACTATGTAGCCGAACATTAATTAACTAAACACAAAAAGTGTTTTTGAAAGACTCTTAATGCTAACTCCAATAAACAATGAGTAAACCACATGAAACCAAAGATGATCCGGAATGCACGTCATGGCAATTGAATTCAGCCTGCATAACACCGAGGGCACATGCTAAATACACACGTGTAAACAACATGGACTGATAAACAGGAAAGGGGAGGAGAGGTTGGAGAGGCTGGGAATGATTGATTGATAGGCCAGCTCTGGAGCAGCTGGGGCTAAGCCCCTGCCATTCAGTCCAGAGGCCAATCTCCCTTGTTGGGGTCCTACCTGAAATCCGAGGATAACTCATCGCGGTGTGACTAAGTTACCAGATCAATTGTCTTGCCTGGCTCACAGGCCATTTGTGAAAAGAATGGATTAAATTCTCTTAATACTTTTGTTGCAGCGAGTGTAGACAGCAAACCACGGAATAAGGCAACAAGTGGCTCCCAGGGTTCAGCTGGTCTCACTTACCCCCGGGCAAGCGGAGGAACTCAGCCTTATAACGCAGGGAGCCAGACCAATGATTAAACCGTCTTCATATGATTTCATAGCCGCGCACCACCCACCTCACCACGTGTAAGACTTTAACGTGAAAATTGTGGAGTATTTGTTTTTTAGTCTCATGCCTTTATGTTCCTGAAACTACACATCACTCCGAAAACTTACAAGAAACAGCATAAAAACTCTTTTCATAGTTGAGAAGCAGAGATGTGCCTTATTTTTATTGGCAGTTCCTATGGAATCATACATAACAGCTGTCTCAATAGCCACTAAATTAACGACATAACATTGCAAAACCTTTAGCCGGCCCCCTGCATGGAGACGCACAAAGAAATGGAAGAAAGGAGCCTGGCTCAGTTTTGGGCATTTCAAGAGAGGTGTTGAACTGCCTGTTGAAGGACTCATTTTTAATTATTTCATTTCGAATAGAACTGTCATCATTTAGGGAAGCTTGTGCTCGATTTGACTTTACGGGGGAAAAAAATCGTTCCAAGGCGCACGTGTTCATTTACCAGACACCGAATGGCGAGCAAGAGCCCGCCGCAAGAACGGAGGAAATTCATCAGAGAAGGGAGGGAAGAAGCCCCTTGGGTTTTTTCTCCACCCTGGGATCTCTTTCCCGCCTCTCCCCAGAGCCTGGGAGGCAGCGGTACCCGGCTCGGGCCGGATCTCTAAGACAATAGCGCCGCTCGCAGCCACGGGGCGACGGCGGCCGCGCGCCTGGCCACGGCGGGCTCGTCTGTCCCCGCGTCACCTGCCCCGCCGTTTCCGTGGCCCGCGCCTGTCCAGCTCGTGTGCCCCACGGGCCCCCACTGGGACCCCTGTCCCGGGCGCTCCAGGCAGGCCCTGTGGGCGGCGGCGAGCAGCGCGCAGTGGCCACCGGAGCCCCGTGCCCCCTGCGCCCTGCCCTGGCCGCGGGCCCCCGGGCTTGTTTGCTCATCGTCGGTGCCTGGCCAGCCCACTCCCTTCTCCCTGCCGCCTCCACAGCCGTTTGCTTCCTGCGGTGTTTTTTTTCTTTTTTTTTTTTTTTTTTCCCTTGCTGGGCTCCATCAAAGGTGGCTCTGTTATTGAAATATGAAGCCATTTCCTCTCCAAAACCCTTGGTTACTCAAGGCGGCCATCAATGGGCCTATAGACGCGCTCCGGAGTTATAAATAAGCGTGTATTTGTTCGGGAGGCGGCTGTCCCGCGCGTCCCAGCATCTTCCTCCGTGCGAATTCCACGGGCGCGCGCGCCCCGCGCCCATCTGGTTCTAATCCCGCGGATGGCCCCGAGCCCGGCCCCACCCATCCGTCTCCCGCTCGCATTCCTCGCTCTATAAATAAACCCAGGTTGTTTGAGTTCTGTCATCCGGGGATACAATAGCTGTTGTTTGTTGGCGGGGATTTAAGCCCAATTCCAATGCAGAGCTAGTGAACCGCAAACCGGGCTCCTGGCGCCGGGGGTGAAAGGGCACCTCGAGTTTGGGGAGCTCTGCGCGCTGCTACCCTAACCGTGCGTTATCCTGGATCCACTTTGGCGAGGGGAAGGCGGGAAGGGGACGCCCCCCCACCCCACCCCTGGGCTTTCCTTTTCAGCAGAGCCTGCAAAAACCAGGCGGAGGTGCGCCGCCCCCAGGCCGTCCCCAGACCCCTGGCCCCGTCCCCCTGGGCGGACCCGGGTGCGGGGTGGGTGGGGGCTTGCGGGCGCCGGATCCGAGCCGGCCAAGGCCGTCTAAGAGGCCGCTGTTTGGCGCGGTCTGCGCACCGGGCGGCCCCTCCCCGTGAAGTTTGCACGAAGTGCGCGTCAGGCTGTAATTAGGGGATCTGCTGGGAGGAGAGTGTTCCTGGGGACGCCGCGCGCCGCTTCTGCTCTCGGTGAGAAAGTACCTCCTTCTTCCCAGGCGCGGGACCTCTGCCACCCAGCGCCACAAAGACTCTCTGCGCGCACCCGGCCGGGCGCGCACACGCACACACACGCTCGCCCAGACCCAAACTTAAGGTGAAGAGGAAGAGCCGTCGCTTCACTCCATCTCCAGCTGCCAGCCTCTGCAGGACTCGGAGCAGCTGAACTTCTGGATTCCAGGACCAGGTAACACTTGCACCTACCTCTCCCTCTCCCCGCAGCCAGCCCCTGTTTTGGCCATACCTTGGTGTCTTTAAGGTTTCAGAGAGCCACACTGGGTCCTGTACGGGTGCATTAAACGCTTTTTCTTCGTCTTTAGTCTTTCACATGACACCTCAACCACCAACTCTTAACTTGCCCTAGATTTTGCTACTGCTGCTATAAAGCTGGTGGGCGCGTGGTTCCCAAGCGGTGACTTCTTCATCTGCGTTTCAGCGGGCACTTTTATAGCACCTGAGATGTATAAAGGATTGTAGAGGCCGCAGCAGGGGCTGAGGGCTTGGGGATGTCTCTCCCAGCTGTCTTGAGTTTTGTTTGATTTCAGGGACTATATAGACTGGTGTGGAAAAGCGCAGTGTTGTCGCCATCGGGAATACCTGTTAAGGTTAAGACTCTTGGACATGGTACCATCTTGAGGGCAGGGTGCTGGGATCGTTTCCTATGTAGGATGATGTCGGCCGAGCCTTTGAATGTTCTGAAAGCAACCAACGATCCAGGAGTTAGGGTTACTTCGGAAAGTTGCTACGAGGGGCTGTGTGTTGGTTGAGACTGTTAGTCGCCCAAAGCCAACGCCAGGCTTCCTTGGCTTGGGTTAACTTGTTTCCTTCCCCTGAATATGATGATTGTGTTCAAACTAAGGTGGCTTATTCTTTCGAAAGTTGGTTGTCTTACTTTCATGTATCACTGGAAAAAAACACACTAGGTGCTCAGTACGTCTGGGGAGTGTTAGGGTGGAGACCGTCCCTGTACAAGTTCCAGTGTGATGTCATAAAATCAAACACACTGGCTCGCTCCTTAGAAGCGAATGGTTCTTAAGAAAGGAAGCCTGTGGATCAGTTCCTAGGTGAATGCGACGCTTATTCATGATAAATGCAGCTTCTGGTAGCCATTTCTCTTGCATTATTTCGGTGCATTAAATTACCATGAATGTCACCCGCGCTTTGGTGACTTCCATCCTTTGGAATCGTGAAGTAGGAATGTCGCTCTACAGAAAACGCATGATGGTAGTTGTGTTGGAGAACTTTGGAACACTTCTTAGTCGTAACTTTGGTTCCATTTATTTATGTGAATGGAAGGGCTTTTTCCTTTCAGTAGAATGGAACGTGTGCCCAAAGACCAGCGAGCATTTCGGCTGCAGTCTTCTCGCACTGTTATACCATTTTTCTCCACGTTTGCAATGAATGAGTTTATGTTTTGTTGGTCACCTCTCTGCTAAATTGGAAACAGCTTACACATAGTCAGATAGCTTCTTATCTAATTTTCCTTCAAGCTAATTAGATGAGCAGGAAAAACCAGCAGGCGCAGGATGGGTGGGCCACAGGAGGAATGCACTCAGTGGCCAGTTTCCCACTGGGGGCCCAGTGGCCTGGGGCCTTCTGGGAAGTGCAAAAGGGGGACACCGTGTTCTTCTGAAGTGAGCCATTTATTTGCAGCAAGGCCCTGTGTCTCCGCGGAATGACTGACACTGTAATTTAGCAGTACTGAAGAGACTTTCAGAGAGAAGAATCAATTCATTATATCCCTAGTGGCTTCATTTCCTTTTCCTTCGTCCGGGAGCAAGTGGCACATCCAGGATAAATACACGGAGCGCGTGCAGCGAGATTCTGAACAGTCTGGCCTTGCAGCGTCGTGGGCGTGCAATAGTGGCATTTGCCGAGCGCTTGGAGAAATCTTTTGAATCTCTAGGTGGTACTGCATGGCGAAAGGGACGAACAATGGGTGACCTTGGCCTCCGAAAACGCCCGCTTTCTTTTCCTTTTCTTTTGCCCCGTGCCTATTCTGTTTTCCAGATGACGTTTTTGAGATAATGGTATCCTACCACTTGGAATTCCAACGAAATGCAAGGAAAACTTGTAATAAGGTTGATATTACAGACTTCGGTGGCACCTAATTAATTTTCCGACATCCTGCGGTCATTATTAGTAACCATAGTGTTTAGTTTGTGTCATTTAAGTGTACTTAGCCTGTCATTTACAGGTAACAGAAGGTTGGGAACAAGTAGAGAGGAATGGAGTCCTGCATATACTTGGGTATTAATCAATGGTGTTTAAGGAGGATTATAGGAAACAGCTGGTTAAACAAATATTAAGTATAGAGAGGACGCCCCAGTATAAATTAATAATGCAGCTCTTTATTTACGCTATGAATGGGAGGGTGTGTGGCAGTTACATGTGGAAGGCACGGTCCCTGTGCGCCACCTGGTGGCAGAGTCCGAGGTGGCGCGCCCACCTTGGAAAATTCTGAGGCTTTCATTTGGTTGACATTTGCGGAAGAATATTAACTGTCAGACGTTGGGGTAGGTGCTCGGGGCAGAAAATACAGCAGGTGACTGTTATATAATGTAAAAATCAAGGAGCCAGTTAGCAATTTATGAAGTTCCTGGTGGTTGCATTTAAAGTCGCTTCAGTTCCTATTGGACGATTTATCATCAACTGCTGCATGAGCATATAGTCTAACGACCACAGCTCGGCTCTGATACAGGATTCGTTTTTACAGAGATGCCATGACAGAATTAGAAAGGGGAGTGTTGAGCTACTCTTTTCTTTGACAGGCAGAGTGGACAGTGAAAGAGAGAGACAGAGAGAAAGGTCTTCCTTTGCCGTTGGTTCACCCTGCGGTCGGCGCACCACACTGATCTGAAGGCAGGAGCCAGGTACTTATCCTGGTCTCCGATGGGGTGCAGGGCCCAAGCACTTGGGCCATCCTCCACTGCACTCCCTGGCCACAGCAGAGAGCTGGCCTGGAAGAGGGGCAACCGGGACAGAATCCAGCTCCCCGACCGGGACTAGAACCCTGTGTGCCGGCGCCGCAAGGCAGAGGATTAGCCTAGTGAGCCGCGGCGCCGGCCTTGAGTTACTCTTTGTCAAATGGAAATACTTCTCAGTTTAGTTGAGTCAATACTGAAGTTTATCACTCATGCACTAACCCAGTTTGTTACATATAATTTAGATTTTTTTTTAAAGATAGCCATCACCAAATGGGAGAAAGGTGACCCTGTAGCTTTTTTAAAAATTTTTTTTACAATTCATTTCTTTGAGAAATAGTTATAGACAGAGGGAGAGGCAGAGAGAGAGAGCGAGAGCAAGAGTGAGAGAAAGGTATTCCATTGCTGGGTTCACTCCTCAAATGGTTGCAATGGCCAGAGCTGGGCTGATCTGAAGCCAGGAGCCAGAAGCTTCTTCCAGGTCTCCCACATGGTGCAGAGGCCCAAGCACTTGGGCCATCCTCCACTGCTTTTCTAGGTCATAGCAGAGAGCTGGATCGCAAGTGGAGCAGCTGGGACCTGAACCAGCGCCCATATGGGCTGCCAGCACCACAGGCGGAGGCTTAGCCTGCTGCACCACGGCTGTGGCTCCTAATTTAGATTTTTTGCTTAGATGGAAAAGGATAGTGAAAATTGGGTAGTGAAGTCGATTTTATAACATCACTCTGAAACAGATAACTTGCATGTGGAACAGCTTCATCGGTACCTGTGTTCCGGTGCATCCATGAAGCTGGAAGTTGGCTTCTGTTAGGGGGAAAGTTCTAGACAGGACAGCTACCTGGAAAACCACCATTTGAAAGAGGCAGTTGGATACCATGGACGCTGGAGTCCCACGAGTATGGTGGGGTATTTGAACAACTTTCTCTCGGAGAACTGAGTCATTACTCGAATTGGTTCTTTGCAAGATGTATGACTTAGTGCCGGCAGAGTTTAGCACATCAGCATTAATCCAGACAAGCTGTGAAGCACGGATGGAAAGCTAAAATGCTCTGTAGGGGAAAGTGATGAATTTGTTACTAGCTGAGCTCTAAGGTGTAGTACGCAAGTTGAGTTAGGCCTGCTGTTGTGGGATGGAAGTTTCCTGTTTAGGGCACTTGGGTACTTTGCAGGGCTCTGAGATAACACAGTGACAGTAGGAGAGCTGGCCATTAAATCCTTTCTCATTCATGCCACAGAATTATACCCCACATTGTTAGGAGAAGATGGCTGAAGTCAATTTAAGATTTTATTTGTTTGAAAGGCAGAGTTACAGGGTTGGGAAGGGGGTGAGATTGATATTCCATCTGCCGGTTCACTCCCCAAATGGCCTCAACAGCTAGGGCTGGGCCAGACCAAAGCCAAGAGCTTCTTCTGGATCTCCCATATGGGTGCTGGGGCCCAAGCATTGGGCTATCTTCCTGCTGCTTTCCCAGGCCGCAGCAGAGAGCTGGATTGGAAGGGAAGCAGCTGGGACTCAAATATGGGATGCCAGCATTGCAGGAGGCGGCTTTACCTACTTCTCCACAATGACAGCCCCTGGAATCACCCTTGAAGTCCTGTAAAATAAAACATGTTATCTTTTTTGTAAAGATATATTGACTTTTGAAAGCCAGAGTTAGAGATGAGAGGGAGAGTTGCAGAGAGAGAGAGAGAGATCGATCTTCATCTGCTGTTTTGCTCCCCAGATGGCCACGACAGCTGGCACTGGGCCAGGCTGAAGCCAGGAACCAGGAGCTTCATCTGGGTGTCCTGGATGGGTGGCAGGATCCCAAACACTTAGGCCATCTTCGGATGGTTTTCCCAGGCCGTTAGCAGGGAGCTGGATCAGAAGTGGGGCAGCCGGGACAGGAATGGTCACAAGCAGCAGCAGCCTTACCCACCATGCCGCCACACCAGCCCGGAGACCTGTTACCTTAATCCTTATATCTAGTAGGAAAGAAGTTTCTATATTAAAACCTGTAGCTGATCATCGCTGTGGCTTAGAATGAATCCCACATTTGTTCGAGTGAGAGACCTAGTGAGAGGTTGCCCGGGAGTCGGAGGCCCTGCATGGAGACGTTTAGTCACCTGTGGAAAATGGTGTTCAAGAACCTAATGACCTCGTGTGACTCAATGACCCTGGGAAGAACAGGCTGTACAACAGAGCACCAACCAGCCTCCATGAAATGATCAGGTGCTCCTGGGGTTGGTGATGGGCTCCTGGCTACCCATGGCAGCTTGGCCG